ATGGGGTAGGCATTCTTAATAGTAATGCGATTGAGACCCCTATAGTCGATACAGGGTCTCAACTCACCACTCTTCTTTTTCACAAAGAAAAAGCCGGCCCGGCAGGAGAAGATGACTTCCGAATGAATCCCTTAGACAACGCATCAGTAACATACTCCTCCATGGCTCGATTCTCTGCTACAGACAGCGGGTAAACCCGTCCACGGGGAGGATTGGCACCAGGTTGGAGTTCGATACCACAGTCATACGGACGGTGTGGTGGCAGAATGCTAGCTTGACCTTTGTCAAATACATCTTGGAATTCTTGGTACTCAGCGGGTAAGGAAGAGGCAGAAATTGTGCCCAAAACTTTGACCGGTCTCCGGAGACAGGAAAATGAGCATTGCTGGGACCAAGATAATATCTCAGATTTGCGCCAATCAATTGTGGGGTTATGCTTCTGTAGCCAAGGGTATCCCAAAACAACCTTACCAGAGAGGAAATGACCTGGAATTGGATCATCTCATGATGTAGAGCCCCTACAGCCAGAGATATGGACACGGTTTCCTGGGTCACGAGGGCTGGCTGTATAGGTCGGCCATCGATGGCTTCGAAAGCTAGTGGGGAGTTGCGAGGCTGTAAGGGTATAGAGTGCTCTGATGCAAATGCACAATCTATAAACAAGCCTGCGGCCCCAGAATCAAGAAATGCCCGGGTTTTAATGGATGACTCCGGCCAGGAGAGGATAATAGGCACCAAGGGTTTGTCCTTATTTATCTCTGGGTCTGCAGAAAGACCCCCCAAGATCTGCCCCTGACAGTATCTTGGGTACGGGCCCTTTACCGGACGAATCGGACAAAACTTTAATATGTGACCGTGGTGTCCGCAGTATAGGCACAGACCCTCCCTCCTCCTAAAGGCTCTCTCCTCGACAGAGAGGCGTGAGAAGCCTAACCGCCTCGGCTCCACACCGACAGAGGACTCAGGACCAGGAGGCATGGGAGGTGAGGGAGGTTTGGGTGGGCAGGAAAAGCTCGGTGCCAAACATACTGGAGGCCTCCGCAGGCGCTCCCTGGATGAGGATCTCTCTCGGAGTCTGATGTCAATGAGGGTGACAAATGATATCAGTTCCTCGAGATCTTTAGGTAATTCTCTGCCTGCAATCTCATTTTTCATTACATCGGATAGCCCCTGTGCAAAGGCAGCCACAAGAATCTCGTTATTCCAGCCACCCTCTGCTGCCCTGGTACGGAATTCACTGGCATACTCAACAATAGTTTTCGTGCCCTGAGTATTAGACATGAGTTGTTTGGCAGTAGGGGTGGAGCGAGCTGGAATATCAAAAACCCTTTTAAAGGACGCAACAAATTCAGGGTAATTGTAAATGATGGGCCTCTCTGCCTCCCAGAGAGGTTTTGCCCAAGCTAGGGCTTTTTCAGACAGCAAAGAAATCATGAACCGGACTTTGTCGCTGTCTGTAGGAAATGCCTGGGGCAGCATTTCAAGGTATCCTTTAACCTGATTTATAAATTCTTTGCACTGAGCTGGGTTGCCCCCAAAATACTGAGGGAGCGGGACAGACCCAGTCATTCCTCTAGCCGCAACAGGTTCGGAGGCTACAACCGGTGCTAGAACAGGAAGTGAGGCAGAGTCGGCCGCAATCGCAGGCTGGCCGGGTTTTGGATTCAGATTGGCATACTGGTCCAAATGGTGGTTCTGCTGGTCCCACCTGGTAAATAGGTTAGGTATAGGTGTATTGCCTGTACCATCTGTATTCATGGCCCTTGCGTAATGTCAGGAACCAGGAACCAGACAGAGACAGATCTAGATGCAAAAACACCTTTATTTAATAAACAACAAAGAAATCACCAAAAGCAAAGTCCAGGAGGCAAGCAGGGGTCAGTCACCAGAGCGGGTAGTCAGACGAGCCAGGATCAGGAGCACGGAGGTCAGCGGAGTCAGGAACAAGGCCAGAGTCAGGAACCAGGAGCAAACAGGAAACACAGGAACAAGGAGACTTCTGGGGGACAGGAAACCACGCAAGGGCAAGGAGGTTCTGGGATTAGCTGCTTAAATAGGCTGAACTGATTAGCAGCAGGGTTGATTATTATTCTCAGGTGAGTAACCGTGGCAACATGCTGAAGGAGCTGATAGTTAATTACAGCTGAAACCTCAGACACTGAAAAAGGAAGGGTGGCTGTTTAAAACAGCAAAGAAACCCTGACAGGGAGGTCCTAAAATGAAAAAAGTAAAATAAGTGTTACTTTTTCATATAATAAATATGAACTACGGTAACCTTAAAATGGAGACACCTAAGGTATAAATAGGTGTACTTTTAAATGTTATGATACAGAGGAGAGACTTGGAGACAGACACTGCTCCATCTTAAAATGACAGAGAGGCTGACATGATGACATGTTCAGAAGGGTATGTTAACCTATTAATGATATTTGCAAGCATGTAATTTAATCTTATAAACTCTGCTATAATGGATTTTATATTTTTATATAATAAATATCAAAAAGACAAAACTATTGCTTCCAAGACAATCCTTATTTTATATTGTATTCTCAATTATTTATATATGTTAAATAGAGGATCTCTCACTAACTATATAAAATTATGGCTAAGATATCTGTATGGTTAGCCCTACTAAGTTCTATGCTTTAAGACATTATAGTGGTAAATAAGGGAACCACCCACGGTTACAGTATGACTTTATAGTTTACAATATTTGAAAGAACTACGGTTTTCTTAGATTTCACCTTCACATTCACTGCAAATAAAATATTCTCAAGCTTCAGTAATGAAAACTACAAATGTCAGACTTTCATTTCCAAATGGCCTGAAGGTTTTCTGTCAGAGTGTTTTACTTCTAAAATATATATCTTATGACTACCATATATGACCAGCAGAACCTATTCTTGTCATTCAGCTATAAAAATTAAGAAGATGATGTTTCAAATATGGAAGACTCGCAAATAAACACTTGAAAGGTAATTAAAGCTGAAGTACATGTATGTTAAATTACGTCTGGATGAGTGAGTCATACAAGTGGGAAAAAAAAGAAGATGTAAACAATACATTCTAAACTTTATACTTCTTTACCATTTAAATAAAAACATAATAATAATATTAATAATAATAATACAGTGAGACCTCGGTTTACGAATTTAATGCATTCTCCAGGAACCCAAATGCGGTTTTCCATAGGAATGCATTGAAAACCAATTAATCCATTCTGGAGGTCAGAAAAAAAGTCAAAATGAGCTGGCATGAAAACCAACCCACAATGCAGAAAACACAATAAAAGGCAAGCAAATGACAAAGCACTACCTTTCCACAGCTTGAGAAATGCACGAAAAAGTCCCAAAACAATTGAAAACAGTTTCCAGAATGGCTCCAAAACTCGATGCAAAAGCTGCTCCAACACCTCCACACTCGACGCCATGTGCTACCCACAGGCTCAAGCATGCAAGGGCTGGTGCTATAGACCTCTCAGGTGCAATGCATCCTGGGGAAACTTGCCTTGTATTGATTTTGTAAACTGAGGCATTATTTTCAATGGATTTTCATTTGTAAACCGGAAATTATGTTAACTGAGGCATTTGTAAACCGAGGTCTCACTGTAATTGCATTTTAATGATAACCATTTAAACTTGTGGCCACACTGATTAAATGATGAATTATGAATGGAAATAAAGCGTTGTGAATTGGTTTTGCACCCCTCCCTGTCACAGGTGCCTGATCCCAGGGCCCTATTTAGCCTTCTGCTGCAGATAGTCCCAGATGGAATATTTTCATCCCTTTCATTTCTCTTTTCTTTACTTTTTCCCTCTCTATCATTATACCTGCTTATCCTTTCTACCTCCTCTCTCCCGTGTGTGTGTGAAAAATGCTATTTTTTTAAATGGCTTTTTCATCACTATTCCACCGTCTATGACTTGTAATGATCGTCTTCAACTCACTCTACTGCTGTGTCTACCATTGTGGTGATTTTTTTGTTCTATAGTCTGCCTTGTTCTGTCTGTTATTATTTTTCTTGTTTTTAATTTTTCAGTTCCACAAACTATGATAAGGAGTTTATACAAGACACAATTTTAGAAAGGAAAAGTTGATAAAAATGCTCAAATCACCAAGTGTGAGTCACTCCAAATCACACAGAGAACCATACAATACAATAATAATATAGTGAGAGCAAACTCTATACACCAGATAAGATAGATATAAAAGCAGGCAATATTACCATATGGCTGTAATGTCCTAAAAATAGAAAATAAGGAACATAGTATAGCCTGTATAAAATATACAGAAAATAATTAAGTGTAAAATTGTCCACTCACGTGGTACTGAGCCGTTCAGTGGCTCAGACTATAAGCGCCTTGTAAAAATTATGGAGACCACAATGCTGGAAAGGCAAATCACTGTGAAAATTCCCTTTTGTGACTGAATGGAAAGTCGAGTCAGGAAATGCAGGAACAAATTTTATTTGCCAACAATCGCATATAAAATGGAATCTCTCAAATTATTGCGCTAACGCGTTTCAACCTAAGCGGTCTTTATCAAAGTGCTAACAATGTCAAACAGATTAAACATTTAAATATAGTTACAAAAAGGCGCGCTGTGATTTCTTTTCCGGTTCACTTCCGGATTTCGGCTGTCCGACCTCCAACTTCCGGTCACGTTGTGTTGCGTCTCTTCAAACACTTCCGGGTCAGCGGACAGTGTTTCTCTTGCGTTCCAGTACGTCTTCAATCTCAGTCATTATTTCCGGCTTCCGGTCATGTGACCTATCACGGGATACTTTCGGGCAAAAATCATAACTCCCTTACATTTCAATAAAGTCCCGATCTTGAATAAAATCAATATTTACTTCAGATGTCTTTGATTAATATGTCCATACATATATCCATCGAGCATATATTTAAAATAAGAGTAAATAAATACACAAATATAAAAATGATCACTCTATCAATTTATCATATATACACTATTAAAAATAGTATAAAAAATAGTATCTCTAAAAAGATAAAATAGAGCTCATTAACAATACAGGGATATATATATGAGGAGAGAAAAAGGGGGAGAGAAAATAATAATAGATTAAAATACATAATATAATTATAATACATCTAAAAAATATATTATAAAAAGGGAGTAATTTCAAAATCCACATTCAAACCATCAGGAGTCAGGGTATTGAGGTTGAACATCCACCTCATTTCTGCTTTGCTTAAAATATTATCTTTACAACCCCCTCTCCAATGGACTTTAATTTTTTTCTATGCCTATGAATTGAAGTCCCTCTGGGTTACCATTATGGTGGTCTAAAAAGTGCTTCGAAACGCTGTGATTAATACATTTTTTCTTTATATTATTAATATGTTCTCCTATTCTGACTTTCAGTTTTCTTATCGTTTTACCCACATAATGATAACCACATGGACAAGTTAAGAGGTATATAACATTGGTTGTATTGCACGTAATTAATGAATGTATTTTATATTCATCTACTGGGTTGTTATTCGAAGAAAAAGTCTTAATATTCCTCCTTATAATCTTATTTAATCTGCATCCAGTGCAATCTCCACAATGATAAAAGCCTATTTGTCCACCTAAAAAATTATTTATATCCTTTTTTACTTTTTTCTCCAAAAAACTTTTAGTTAAAATTTGTCTAAAATTTCGTGCTCCTCTAAAAATAAATTGGGGTCTATCTCCTAAATAGGGTAAAAGTTCTTTATCCTCCTTTAATACATGCCAGTTCTTTTTAAAAACATTGCATAAAGATCTGTTATTAGTACAAAAATTGAAGATCAAAGGAATCTGTTCCTCCTTCTTTCTTTCTTTATCTTTATATTCCAGAAGTAAATTCCTATCTCTTTCTCCTATTTCGTCTCTAATATTTTTAATTAAAGTTAGATCATAACCTTTATCTACAAATTGCTGTGACAAATTACATGATTGATCTTGATAATCTTTAAAATCCGTACAATTCCTCCTTAATCGGAGGAACTGGCCTTTTGGTACGTTACTAAGCCAAGGTTTAAAATGACAACTTTGTAAGTCTATAAAACTATTTACATCTACCTTCTTAAAATGAGTTTTACTTTTAATTTGGTCTGATTTCTATAAAAATATCAAGGTCTAAAAAGGTGATATTTTGATTGCTTATATTGGAGGTGAGTTTAATATTCCAATCATTGGAATTTAAAAACTCTAAAAACTTAACCAAAGAGTCTCTATCTACTCTCCATATAATAAAAATATCGTCTATGTACCGCTTATAAAGGACCAAGCTTGCCCCTAAATCTACACTGGGGAGAACAAATGTTTCTTCCCAGTGGGACATGAATAAATTAGCATAACTAGGGGCAAACTTGGTCCCCATAGCGGTTCCTTGAATCTGTAAATAGAACTGTTCTTCATACCAAAAAAAATTATTTTTTAATATGATCTCTATACCTTTTAAGATAAAATCGACCTGTGATTCATTAAAATCTCCCAATTTCTTAAAAAAATATCTAACGGCCTTACAGCCCCTCTCATGAGCTATATTTGTGTATAGACTACTCACGTCACAGGTTGCCATAATGTATCCTTTTTCCCATTTGAAATCTTTTAAAATATTTAATAAACTTATTGTATCTTTCAAGTAGGTTGGACATTTCTTAACGAGATCTTGCAAAAATTGATCAATATACTGCGATAAATTAGATAAAAGTGATCCTATACCGGACACTATCGGTCTCCTGGGTGGATTAGAGATATCTTTATGTATTTTAGGCAGCACATAAATCACTGGAATTTTTGGATATTCTATTTTTAAAAACTTGTATTCTTTATTATTTAAGATTCCCATTTCTAATCCTTCCTTAATAAAAGCCTCATATTCTTCCTTTATCTTTGTTAGTGGGTTAGCATCTAATTTTAGATAAGTAATTTTATCATTTAATTGATTCTGAATTTCTTTTAAATACTTGTCTTTTTGCCAGATCACCACCCCACCTCCTTTATCAGCTGGTTTTATTATCACTGACTCATCTTCTTTTAAATCTTTTAAGGCTAATTTTTCTTTTTTTGATAGATTCCCCTGATATTTATTTAAAGGTTTTAGTCTTTTTAGATCTTTCAAACATAATTTTTCAAAAACCTTCATAGCCTCAGATTTCTTATTTACTGGGTAAAAGGAGGATTTTTGTTTTAAATCTGTATGTTTGTACGAATCATTGTCACTAATTACTTCTTTATTTACTATAAAATCCTTAAAAAAAATTTTTAGGCATAATTTACGTAAAAATTCTTCTCTCCTCATATATATATCCCTGTATTGTTAATGAGCTCTATTTTATCTTTTTAGAGATACTATTTTTTATACTATTTTTAATAGTGTATATATGATAAATTGATAGAGTGATCATTTTTATATTTGTGTATTTATTTACTCTTATTTTAAATATATGCTCGATGGATATATGTATGGACATATTAATCAAAGACATCCGAAGTAAATATTGATTTTATTCAAGATCGGGACTTTATTGAAATGTAAGGGAGTTATGATTTTTGCCCGAAAGTATCCCGTGATAGGTCACATGACCGGAAGCCGGAAATAATGACTGAGATTGAAGACGTACTGGAACGCAAGAGAAACACTGTCCGCTGACCCGGAAGTGTTTGAAGAGACGCAACGCAACGTGACCGGAAGTTGGAGGTCGGACAGCCGAAATCCGGAAGTGAACCGGAAAAGAAATCACAGCGCGCCTTTTTGTAACTACATTTAAATGTTTAATTTGTTTGACATTGTTAGCACTTTGATAAAGACCGCTTAGGTTGAAACGCGTTAGTGCAATAATTTGAGAGATTCCATTTTATATGCGATTGTTGGCGAATAAATTTGTTCCTGCATTTCCTGACTCGACTTTCCATTCAGTCACAAAAGGGAATTTTCACAGTGATTTGCCTTTCCAGCATTGTGGTCTCCATAATTTTTACAAGGCGCTTATAGTCTGAGCCACTGAACGGCTCAGTACCACGTGAGTGGACAATTTTACACTTAATTATTTTCTGTATATTTTATACAGGCTATACTATGTTCCTTATTTTCTATTTTTAGGACATTACAGCCATATGGTAATATTGCCTGCTTTTATGATAAGGAGTTAACTAAAAATGAAAAGGCAAATGAGTAGAAAATGATATCATACAGAACAGGTCTTAGCTACCCTCATTTTTGTGCTAATATTTGTACAGCTTTGGTAATTTTATTTTTGTTTGCATATTGTTGCTTAACAGGTTTATGTGTTTGCTCAAAATGCTTCTGTATCCTTCAATTTTCCCTACTAAAGTTCTTTAAAAAAGGTAATACAATAAGACAGCAACCTCTGTCAGAATTACTGCAAGACAGAGGACGATATTAAATTTTTAAAACATTTTATCCTCCCAATATTTTTGTAAAGGATAGTTAATGAAAAATATATTGTATACATTATATATTTCTTTGTTTCATATTCTTTAACAGCAATCTATACATTTATAATTTTTTTCAACCTACATATTTGTACATATTTGTGCAAACCATAAATAAATAAATGTCTTTTTTTTTTTTTACAGAAAAATTAATTTCATTTTAATTACCCATGACAGCATGACCTTATGGCAATTCAAGTATTGAAGGTTTTCCTGATACTTCAGTAAGCAAACACTGTTTGGAGTATGATTGGGGCTGCAGACCAGCAGTCAGTATATAACAAACAGCCTGTCAATAGTGATGAAAGAGTAGAATAGTAGACCAGACTTGCTGCTCAGATGGTTTCATAATTTTCAGTTTAATGAATGAATTTCCAAGTGTAACTATAGAGAGAGATAAAATAAGATGAGGGCTTATCTCTGAGCAAAATATAGGTTATGTTGGATCTTCTGCATATGATGTTTAAATGTCTAGAGGTATTTTATGGAAAAAGAAAACAGCACATCTTTGTCCTTGAACTTGATCAAATATATCTAACAATGACAAAGCTCGACTTAAGGGTAAAACAAAACAGTCCGCTGAGATTAAATACATAAATAATCCATGTAATAATTAATTAATGAAAACCACTACCTTAAAAAGCATAAAAAGGGAAAAAAATATGTAAAAATAAATTGCAGTTATGTGATCAATCACAGTAGTGTCTGTGCATTTATTTAACCATTTGTTTGCAAGATTAAATATTGCAATTCCATGGAGAGCTGGCACATGGGGATTAAAAATGCATATAGCGGACTTGGCATCAGTCCCTGGGGTTGCCCCAGGGCTGTCCCAAGGCATTGTGCTGCCTGGAACAAAGGATGAAATGTCCGCCCCCCCACCCCAATCCCCAACAAAACCACACCAAGCAAAAAATACACATCCATTATGTTATGCAGTGTGTGTAGTTAATGCAGTGTCTGTGTAGTGGATGCAGAGCATGTATTTGTGTAGTGAATGCATTGTGTGTCTGTATAGTGGATACAGCGTGTGTGTATTTTGTAATGGATGCAGTGTATGGATAGCAGACGCAGAGACTGTGTGTATATAGTGGATGCAGAGTGTGTGTATAGTGGATGCAGTGTGTGTGTGTGTGCGCATAGTGGATGCAATGTGTGTGTGTCTGTGTTTGTGTATAATGGATGCAGTGTGTGTGTAGTATAGTGGATGCAGGAGGGAGGGGGTGACACAGTGAGGGAGGGGTATCACAGTGAGGGAGGGGGTGACAGGTGGCAGAGTGACCATGGGTGGTGACAGAGTGGGTGACAGATGGCAGAGTGACTAAGGGAGGGACGGAGTGACAAGTGGCAGAGTGACTGAGGGAGGGGGTGGCCGAGTGAGGGAGGGCGTGAAAGGTGGCAGAGTGACTGTGAGAGGGGGTGACACAGTGAGGGAGTGGGTGACAGGTGTCAGAGTGACTGAGGAGGCAACAGAGTGGGTGGCAGAGTGACTGAGGGAGGTAGGGGGTAACACAGGAGACAGGGTGGGTAAAAAAGGTGGCAGAGTGACTGAGGTAGGGAGAGGGTAGCAAAGGGATGGAGGGAGGGGTGACAGAGTGAGGGAGGCGTGACTGAGGGAGAGAGTGACACAGTAAGGGAGGGATGACAGAGTGACGGAGGGGGTGGCAGAGTGATGGAGGGAGGGGTGGCAGAGTGAGGGAAGGTGTGACGGGTGGTAGAGTGACTGAGGGAGGGGTTGACACAGTAAGGGAGGCAGAGCTGCAGACTGTGCTGGCTCTCTTCCTCTCAGGACAGATTGGAGGGGCCTCGCACCTGGCAGCATACCGGGCAAGCTGCTGGGCCCCCTCCAGATGTCAGTTCCTCGGTGAGGGACCGAGGACCTGACACAGTCTGCATGTTTTATGGCGAGTTAGGCGGCCACGAGGCCTTGGGCAGCTGCCTAACTCGCCTAATTAGAGAGCCGCCGGCCTGCCACTTATACGGGCGGCAAAATGCCGCCCCTGTTAGAGTGCC